AAATAGCCTATGTGAATCCAGTCATGGCAGGGATAGGCTTCTAGAAAGGGAAGATCATTCCATTTCTCTTCAGGCTTGGAAGCAGTCAGATTTTTAGAAAGAAAATGTTTACAAAACATAGAATTTGTATGCTCCCCTTGAACTTTATTTTTGCCCAGAATTAGGGTTAGCGTTAAAGTCAGGGTTATGGTTGGTATTTTTATAAAGTAAACTTTCCATAGAGGTCTAGATGCTTCCAAAGTGCTCTGAACTAACAAAGGGAGCTGTCCAGGAAAACTGAGCTTATCCCGACCTTTTTGAAAATCCTTATTTAGACATTTGTGTATTTCAGCCTCAAGATAACCTATGGTTAGTGATTTTTCTTGTGCCTTTCTAGGTTTTGTGTATGTTATTGTGCCTTACCTGGTTTAGGGTGTATGTTATTGCCTTTTTCCTTGTAGCACTCCATAAACATGATGGCATACCAGCTGCACACAGGAGTCTTCAAGCAGGATGGGTGCAAGACCTCCTCCTGCCCAAGCTCCTCAGCTACTGGTGTATGTGGGCATGCCACCTCTAGGAAAAGAGGTAGCCATAGACAGCAAGGCTAGTAGCCACTGATTGTCTCCTCCCTCATGAATCTGTCCAACCCCTTTTTAAAGTCATCCATATTGGTGGCCATCACCACTTCCTGTGGCATCAAATTCCACAGTTAACTCTATGCTGTGTACTTCCTTTATCTGTCCTGGAATGATTTTTTTTCTTGTTTCTTTTTTGTTTCTTCTTTACCTTTTCTCTGTTGAATGTTTTTACTTCTGACATTTTTCTAGCCTGCCCCCTCTCAAAAAAAGGTCAATGAACTCATAAGAGCAACTTTCCTTTTGCTTTATTTCTCATCTATATAACACTGTTTTAAATGTGCATGGTGTATCTTCTATATGAAATGTGGTAGTGAATTTGCATACAGAACCTATGGTTTTTGTGATGAAAATTTCATTTATTATATTTATATTCCACCTCTTTTTTTCTTTGAAGCAACTAACTCAAGGTGGCTTGTATAATTCTCTTCCTTCCAATGTCATCTTAGCAAAAAACCCTGTGGGGTAGGTTGGGATGAGAGTTTGTGGCTGGTTCAAAGCCACCCAGGGAGCTCCCTGGCTGAGTGGAGGCTAGGATTCAGATCAACTGAGTCCCATGCTTTCAACCACTAGACCACACTGGTTCCCCATGCACAGAATGCCATACATGGTACAGGAAAATTCAGCATCATACTGTTCTCTCAAACATGGCAATATGTACGAAATTAAAGCTACCATCTTTATAAACTTGTATATTTGATATTTAAAATTGATTGAGCTAATTTGACTTCATTTCTCTTCACTTCTATAACTTAGAGTCAAATTAAATGTTACTTTTAATATATAGCACACAGCTAAGTTTATTCTTTTTTCTTACCCAAAAGAAAGTTTAGGAGACTCAGTTGTAATCTAGAATTCAGCTCCATCATTGGTTGGATTGGGACCTCAACATCTGTAATTTGCTTATGGAAAATACCCATTTACAAAAATTGGTACTTCCCCCAACCCCTGTGAATAATGCACAGGAAGCTGTATCATCCGGACCATGGTCGGATAAACAGTTAAAGTTTCTCTTCCCAATGCTCACACTAGGTTTCTAATCTAAATTTGGTTCTCATGGTTACTTTTGAGTTTTTTTTTAAAAGACCAAGCATACCTGTGTGTTTCATATGACTGCATTGGATGCCTTATTAATCCGGATTTTTATTTTTATTTTTTTAGATTGACAACTAAGTGTATGCTGGTTCACACTGCTTTATTATTCTTGATTGGTATGACTCCTGCCATCAGGAACACCTGCTCCCTATTTGTAGGTCATTTAGTGTGGTAAATGAACCAGGAACTCTGACTTTTTGCCATCCTAAGAAACTATGACAAATTCTGGTTTATGATTATGGTTTGTGCGGAGGTGAAGAAGCCATGGTTCCTGATTCAGACGTCATGCTGAGGAAACCATGATGAAGATAACCTTGGCTTTCTGAGTTCCTCCAGTGGCAGAAGGAGTCAGGCAGGACAAATGAGGCAGCAGCACATTTGCCTATTCACAGTAAACCAGATTTAAAAAGGGGGCAAAGATAGAGAGAGTGCCCAATCTGACTTACTGTAAGGAACCAATAGAATGCCCTTTCCATTGGTGAATCATTGTTAAAAACATGCCTCTGAATAAGGATTTCCACAATGTATGTGCCCACAAATAAAAGCTATTTTAGCATCAGAATTTCTCCCTGCCCTTTTTTCCCCTACTGTAACATTTGAATATGGCCAACATGTAATTTGACCTTTAGACTGACTTCCATCTCATTTCAGTCTTAAAAATTAATCTGAAATATGTCTATGTGGAAGACAGAAAAAACAGATAGAAGCTTATAGCAGTGTGAATATGATGTCAGTTCCCTTTTAGAATTAAAATCTGTTAACATTTTCCTACCAATCACTGATAATGCCATTATTGCTATCCACTTCTCAGTACTGTTATTGTTACTTGTATTTCTCCACATTAAGTAGCTGGCATGCCCGACTTACCAGAGTTTTGCTTCTGCCTGAAAATCATACAACCATGATCCTTTAGCAACTCTGAACATAACAAAAATGAAATTCTCAGGACATTTTTCACGATTTCCTGACTTCATGTTCAAAGGTGGGCACATGCATAAATGCACTTTTCCTCCTAAACTTTGCATTTTCACACTTTGGCCTGGGGGAGGGGGTGGAATTTATTCTTTTGGTTGGGAAAATGAGCTTATTTGTACATACACAGTTGCCAATTTAGAAAATGTGCACTTCTAAAAATACCTGTGCTCCAATTGAAACTGTACTTTTTTTTCCTGATTGGAAAAGAGAAAAAGATGCTTGTGTCTTGGAATGAAAATGATGCAAAAATTCAAAGAGGAATTCCGAGTACTTCTGTGAGCTCAAACATCACATATTAACCAATCCTGGCCTGTGGAACCTTGCCCCAGTCTAGGTATGAGGGAAGCTTTAGTCCATGACACCCATTTTTGAATCAGAAGAGAAAGCTGCAGAGTCAAGACCAGCTATGGAATGCCAGACTGCTGAGAATGCAGCCCTACCAGGTCTCACACTAGTTGATTACCTGGCATGAGGAGAAGTGCAATATGCTGATACAGCTTGTCTACCACAGCTGGGAGACCTCACCTTGATGGAAACCATTTCTTGACCAGGGTGCCTTCTACTGGAAACAGGACAAGTGCAATGGGAGGGTATTTGGGAATGTCTCGACTACTAAGCGGTGCAGAGTAGAGGTTTCAGGTGAGGGGCAACAATTTTTGGAGTGGCAGGTTTCCCCACCAAGATCAAATGCCTGAAAGTGATCTTTAGTAACCACTCTCCTTTATTAAGCCACAGTGAAACAGAGTAGATTTTGATGGAAGCAACACACTGGTAACCTGCAAGGCTTCCTACTTTTTCTGGAACTGCAAACTTATATTGCAAACTGCAAACTTTATATTGTTATATTGTTAACTTGTTTTATATTGTTAATTTATAGTATTTTAATTGATTTATTTGTAAGCCGCCCCGAGGCTTCAGCAAATGGGGCGGCATAGAAATTTTCTAAATAAATAATAATAATAAATAAACTTACTGTAACTTGTTCTGTAAGCTGAACCCAAAGATTGGTGGGTCTTTTCTTGGGATGCTTACGTACTCATTCTTTCTGTGATCTGTTAACTATGGAAAGGTGAACTATTGGGGCTGAAAGGTTTAACTGCTGTTGATTCCTACCATGAAATGTCTGCCTCAGATCTTGGAAGTTAGGTTGTGACAACCTGACAGTAAAATAGTAATGGAAAGGCAGGAATAATGTATTTTCCCTGAGGAATATTGGAGCATACAATATCTATCTGGACTCTGCTTTCTGTAATTCATGCTGGTTTGGAAACTTAGATTATTTGGGGCTTCCTCCACTTGTAGTATCTCATTTTTACTTGCACATTTGCAAGTAACTTAGCAAAGTGACACAATGACATATTTTTACTGGGGCTGTGTTTTATGCATTTTTAACCCAACCAGCTCAAATTATTGTTATATCATTTAAATTGCTCTGGGCTGGAACTTGGCAGATGCAGTTGTGAGCCCAGGACCAATTTACTTTTCCCATTTTAACACAAATTGGTTTGGATGCTTTCGTTAAGCTAAGCACAGGCATTTTGTTGTTGTTTTGCTTCAGTGTGACATCAGGTTCTTAAAACTGCTCTTCAAAATAAAGAGATAATATATTGTGCATCACCACTTAAACAAAAATGGCTAGATGGAGATCTTTGCTCTTCTCTTTAATACCGTTTCATTATTGTTATTGTAGTCTACATACATTATTAGCTGTGATGCGAATAGCTCTAGTAAATTAACTATGGTGCAATATAGCCATCATAGTTGTGAATGCACGTTCAAGAAAAAGGGCCTAAAGCTTTATGTTTCTTACAGCAGTTATTAAATTTTTACTATTAAACCAATTTTAAGAGGTGTAATGATTTTAAAGTGATCACATAAATCATAACTAGGTGATTCTGAAACATTGTATGAGCAGGATTTCATTGCTTTCACACAGTAACAGCATCATGTTCTTTTAGTGCTATAAAAATGCCAGTATTCTGGCTTTTTATAAGATCAGGTGGCCCTAAAAGACTTGGAAGCATCCCAGATCAAGCTGGGGAAACCTTAATTTGGTTTGGAGCAGGAAATGACATTGACAGATTTGTTCCGTTTTTCATTATGAGCCAAACTTCAAGAAAAATCTTGACTTCAGTCTTTTCCACATTCTAAGGCATTTAGACTTCAATTAATTTAAGTCTATATTTAACTTCCACTCTGCTCCATAAAGTGTGAACACTTTAAAGGCAGCCTTCCTCAGCTTGGTGTCCTCCGGATGTCTTGGTCTATGACTTCCATCAACTCCAGACAGCATGATCATTATTTTAAGGCTGCTTTGAGTAATAGACTTGGAAGGATGTCAAAACATGCAGTAGGGATGCTTAAAACACTCCTCTATGCCACACTTCTTCCTAGATATTGGGCTTCCAGATCATTAGAAATGTTTCCCAGAACACAATACAGAATATTGGGATCCGTGGTTCTTTTAGTATTTATATAAGCATGACTAAACTATCTTGCAATTCTATACTCACATATCTGGCCATTGAACTTAGTAGAATTCACTTCTGAGTAGACATGCTATTTATGTGTTGTTCCTTTGTTGTACTCCTGCAGAAATTTAAGCAAAATATTATCGTGCACACAGAGTTACTTTTGAAAGGTTTTGATTTTGTTGTTGATCGTACTGATATACTGTTTTGGCATAAGTGCTCTCTGTCCCCTTTCCTTTTCTATGTTTAGCCTGTTTAGCAGGTGCTTTTAATACTTTGTTGGAGAACAACTGTGGAAAAACAATAGTAATTTTTTTAAACTATTTTTACTTTTTCAAAATATTGATAAATCTCAAAGGAATAGTAAAAATGACATTTTCTTGCACTACCAACATTCCAAAACTCTGCTACTTTTTGTTGTTGTTGCAAAGTGGCCAGATGAGAACCCAAGGCAAAACAGAAATATATAGGAGTAACTGAGCAGAACCAATGGAATCAACTCACCCCCCACTGCAATTAGCTGGTTTACACGATCATCTTAGACTAAATAAGCCTCAGGGTCTTGTTTTAGTCACAGGCCATGCTAACCACAATGGCTTATCATGTTGTCTAAACCTAGGCAGCTTGAATTGTTGGAGGGGAAAAATATTCTCATATAACCCAGCAACATCTCATGGGCCATATTTTATCAGACCCAGTTGCTTTCCTTCCTCATCTTATGGAGCACCCTTTTTACTTCCTCTCTAAAGCCAATCTTACAACCTCAATGAAGCAGCTGGCACTGTTCTTGCTGGCTGCAAGAGTGGGAAGGGATAATCTAGTATTGATTCCTATGTAGGTCTGAGGTTGGAGCTGGGATCTGAGACATGTGATCCTCTGTTGCTTTCCAAAACAAATGACCTCTGCATCTTCAGTTTTGCTCACAGTATCATTTCTCCATCTCCTCCACCATCTTCCTAGGTATTTCAGCAAGAAGGAAGGAGTACAGAGGCATATATTGGATAGAAAAGAATATAATTCTCTCGATATGGTTCAAGAAATAACTGAATGCTGCATAAAGGCTTAATAGAGCATTATTACATCAAGCTGTGTACTATCAAACTTAAGCACACAAAATTACATGTTCCATAGACTCCATATACAGCTGATCTTAATAGCTTGTGCAGCAGGGTCCACAAAACTTAACAACCCTCAGGTGGTGCAAGAGTTAGTCTTAGATAAGGTATAATTATTGCAAACCATATTCTCTGTTCAGATTAAATGAATCCTTCCTAGGCTGTTGATGAATATAACCACCCTTTTCAGTTGTCAGAATTCAAAAAGCCTACTGGCCAACATGTTCAGTAATCTAAGTAGCTTGCTAAATGCAGTTCCTTTGGACTAGGGTTGGCTAATGTGCAATGTTCATGCTTGCAAGGATTCTTTGAATATCAGCTCACTTTTTGTTTCTTCTTGATTTGCACTCACAAATGTTATCAGTGTTCATTTTGTGCAAACAAGGACATTGAGCTAAATGTTGAATTACTGAATGTGAATATTATGACAGCAATTCTCAAATTTGTACAAACTTCCAAAATTTTTCCCATAGACCTAACCCTAATTCTAATAACTATGCAGTCCAAACATGTAACTCCTCTTCTGTTCTATATGCATGGATTTCATATATGTTATTGGGCCTAATTCAAGATGCTGGTTTTCACATATACAGTAACTTGGAAACACAATGCCTAACAGAATGCCTTTTCTGAGCACAATGTTTCTAGACAGTGGCGTTGTGACAAAGATCCCAGAATCCATTCCTCTTTAGTTTCTGGACTTCCTCTTGTGTTTGACCTTATCTTAAAAACTTAGCCGAGCTGAGAGGAAGCATGTGAACAGTCAGGGAAGTCTGTTGTGCAACTAGTAACCTTCATCCTTCATGCTTTTGTGAAACAAAGGCTGCTATTCATGTGTCGAGAAGACTGACTGACATCACTTGTGCCATATTTGTCTGGAGTTCAATTCTTGATGGGCGCTGTGCAAATGGTCAGTGCGCTCACTAGGAAGTCAGATACAAAACTAAAAGAAAGTGGGCTGGGGTCTGGGTTGTTGAACATAAAGTATCAGATGGATCCACCCACAACACACACCGCTAGTGGACTCTAGATTGTCTGAGGCCTTCATCTAGATTCCACTTACAAGGGAGGTCCAACTCATAGCAACAAGGAAAGTGATTCAGTTGTTGGAAGGTATAGAAAATGGTTGCTTGCTTGATTGCTTGATTGAATGAATATACTAAGGCCAGAATTTTGGCAAGGAAGATCAATTTTCACTACCATATCGATTGTCTAGCATTTTTTTTTAACCTATCATGTTCAACTTAAACAAGTTTAAATCAGCTGACTGGCAAAATCATACCCTACTTGATTTGTACAGTTACGTCTGCTTAAGGAGTTACTTAAGAAGTTGAATTTGGCCTTCAGCTAATCAGTCCTTGGCTGTTAGCTAAGGTATAATGCTATTTAAATAGATATAGTTCTTGGCATTTGGCCAAGTTTTATTTCATGTTCCCCCTTTTTAACTTCCCCCACATTTTTCTGCTTCTATTTCCCCTAATACATCTTAATCCACTCTCATATATTGCTTATTTTCATTTAATATAGGTTATATCTACTTAATATTTTAATATATGTTTAAAAGCATATTAATATATCTTGTAAAATACTCACTTTGTGGACTAATGTTCACATTTAATAACTGAGTAGGGACTGTTGATGAGGATTTGTCTCTGTTGTTGCTGTTGCTAGTCACGAAGTCGTGTCCGACCCATCGCGACCCCATGGACAATTTACCTCCAGGCCTTCCTGTCCCTCCACCTTCCCCTGGAGTCCACAAGTTCACACCAGCTGCTTCAGTGACTCCATCTAGCCACCTCATTCTTGGCCTTCCCCTTCTTCTTTTGCTTCTTTTGTACCATTTTCATTATTTTTGGGGTGCTGTTTTGATGGGGATGGTGGCAGTATGTGAGATACCTGTTTTTGTTTTGAGATATTGTTACATTTACCATAATACTACATTCAATTATTTTGGAAAGTTTAATATGTATGATTCATGAGTTGTATCATTTAAGAACAGGTAACTTCTGTAACATTGCTAAGTTATTTATGTGTAGAGAAATAATTTCCTCTCCCTCTCCCTCTGTGTGTGTGTGTGTGTGTGTGTATGTATTTCTATATTTAATGTGATTTCATGGAATGTCAAGGGACTGTCAAATCCAAATCACTATTAAAGAGTTCTCTCTAAGCTATAAGATCTTAACACTGATGTGGCTTTCTTTTTGTTTAACAAGTAACCCATTTGATGGATGCAAATGAACATTTATTGCGAAAAGATAGGGTCAGAGAGGTCTAAGTAACAGATACTTCAACACAGTTTAAAGGGGATTCCTTTTTATTCATAAATGGTGATTCTGTTTAGTTCAATAGGTGGTTATTGATCCTCAAGCTTACTTATTGATTCTGGTGGGGAAATAGTTTGATCAAGTAATTGGTATGATTAACATCTGCTGGCCTCATAATGATTCTCCAGTGATGTTTCATGAATGTTTCAGAAAACTGATCTTGCTTATCATTATTTGATTGTGGTGGTGATTTTAATGATATTCTAGATCCCTTTCAGGTGTACACTCTTTTCAAGAGGCAAAATTTGTGTTTCAAGTCTATACAGCCAAACTCGATTTGATTCATGCTTGAAGAATTTCATGAGAGAGACTAAACTTTCATTTCAAGTGTCAATCATAACTGCTTTTGATTAGATTTTTAGGTTGCTACATCTGTGCTACATTACATAAATGTTTCTAAGATAGTTGGGTTGGTAGATTCAAACCTTGCCCCAATCTGCTTGGAGATAAAATTTCAAATTTGCCCCCACACTCCCCCAGTCCCTGGTGCTCTAATATTTCTTTTCTTAATAGGGATGTTTTTAAATCAGATTTCTGTGGACATTTGAGTATTTCAGAATGAAAGTTCACACTGCTGATTCCTGTGCACTGAGTGGGAGGCCAGGAAAGATTTCTCACAGGGGTAAATTGCTGCCCACTTTCATATTCAATTCCAAGAGACAGAAGTATGACCAATGGTCTCTCTTTGGCCTTCTTTTTAGTTGGGATAGTGGGCATGTGTTAGCCCCATGTGTGGATTCTGTTCTATTAAGCTTGTGCTGGTGTTGATGCAATCTGATGTGAATTGATCATATATATTTCCTTTCTAATAACAGGCTGCAAAAAATACATTTTTAAATTGGCATGAATTCGAACAATTGCATTCATTTGCACAAATCTGTATATCACCAAGACAAGGCTGAATTTCACCCAAGTCTGAAATTAACTGAGAGAGAAGTAAAGGTGGCCAAGATGAATTGTGTACACATGCAGTAAAAGGAGGCTTCCATACTTAATGTGTCAAATGCTACAAGAAAAATAAATCAATTGAGTTAAGTCCAATTTGTGCTATTTATGTAGTCTGCGCAGATTTTATGTAAATCATGCTAGAGATATGTGGTCCTTTCACAAATGGGAACAATTTCATGGAAGCCGAAAAGAAAATACAGTTTACCCATGACTGCTGGGTCAGAAATATGTTGAAAATTTACCAAGCTCAAACACAGTTTTCCAGTATTAAATAAAGACTAAATAAGCTTTATCTTTTCATATTTAACGTATAGCCCGTGCTGTGCTCTATTAGACAAAATAGTAACATTCATGGCTGTGTGCATGATTGTTTAGAAATCAAATTTATTTTTTATCTTTTCTTGTTGAACTTGAAGCTTCAGTTGTCTTTTCCAGCTTAGATGCAGTTGATTGATCTATTTGGTGATT